GCCAGCTACTCAAGAGGCTGAGGCAAGAGAATCACCTAAGCCCAAGAGCTGGAGGTTGCTATGAGCTGTGTGATGCCACGGTACTCTACTGAGGGCTATAAAGTGAGACTCTGTCTCTACCAAAAAAAAAGAAATGAGAAAGGATGAAATTCCTTTCAGCAAAAAAAGCAGAACTGAGAGGAGACTTACATTTGCCATCAAAATTATGGATGGGTTTTGTGATTAAACTTAATTTCTAGGCAAACAGATCACTCACAGTTAGGAAATTATGAAAATAAATGCCAGGTATGGTGCCTGGCATAGGTACTATAATCCTAGTACTTTGGAAGGCTGAGGTGGGTGGATCCGTTGACCTCAGGAGTTCAAGACAAGCCTGAGCAAGATTGAAACCCTGTCTCTACTAAAAATAGAAAAGACTAGCCAGGTGTTATGGCAGGCACCTGTAGTCCCAGCTACTTGGGAGACTGAGGTAAGAAGATTATTTGAGCCAAAGAGTTTGAGGTTGCTGTGAGCTATCATGCCACAACATTCTACCTGGCGCGACAGAGTGAGACAGTTAAAAAAAAGAAAACAAAAGAAAGAAAGAAAATTATGGAAGTATGTTTGCAAAACTTCAAAGATCTTAGGATTATTTTAACATTTTGGTTCAGAAAATGGGGCAGCAAAGTTTAATATAATGGATTTACTAAACATTAGCTACTGAAGAATTCTAAATTCTCTTTGTGAACTGCCAGGGACTGAGGTAAAAATCCCACCAAAGAGTAGGTAACAAAAAGCTCTTACAATAGTCCATTAACCCATATTAAAATACAATAAAGCTGCTGAACTCCTAAATTCTCCAGAAATAATGAGGGATGGGCTGATAAATTATTAAAAACATTCTTAATTTTTTGGTATTTACCTGGATAAGCCAACTCTGACACCAACAACTGCAAGATCATTTTTAGCAAAAAATTCACTGAGACCAGTTTTTAGTTCAGTAGCAGTTTTGTTGCAATTCAGGTTCCCAACATGCAGTTTGAAAGTTCCAGGTGCTTCAGCTGCCATACAAAAAGGTAATGCAAAAAAAAAAAAAAAAAAAAAAAA